TTTTGTACCGCGGTACACTATTTTATGGTTCAGAAACAAAGCATTCATACTTTGATTTTGTACCGCGGTACACTATTTTATGGTACAGAAACAAAGCATTCATACTTTGATTTTGTACCGCGGTACACTATTTTATGGTACAGAAACAAAGCATTCATACTTTGATTTTGTACCGCGGTACACTATTTTATGGTACAGAAATAAAGCATTCATACTTTGATTTTGTACCGCGCTACACTATTTTATGGTACAGAAACAAAGCATTCATACTTTGATTTTGTGCCGCGGTACACTATTTTATGGTACAGAAACAAAGCATTCATACTTCGATTTTGTACCGCGGTATACTGTTTTATGGTACAGAAACAAAGCATTCATACTTTGATTTTGTGCCGCGGTACACTATTTTATGGTACAGAAACAAAGCATTCATACTTCGATTTTGTACTGCGGTACACAATTTTATGGGACAGAAACAAAGCATTCATATTTCGATTCCGTGCCTCTTCACATTTTCGTGATGTTTACACCTCGTTTTCGCCCTGTGTATCACACAAAAGATTATCATGGTACAGAAACGAAATGGAAATGGTTCATTTGTGTACCGCATGAAAGTGTATTGTGGAACAAACTCGAAGTTGTTCGTTTGTTTAGCACGTTTGCCATGGTACAAAGATTGAGTTTAAATGCTTCAAATGTGCATGCCTGTATCCAGCCAATGTATATTTTTATATTTGTTACGTGCATTTCGTCAACGTTAATAATATATTTATATATATACAGTTCTTCTGTATATATATATTGGGCAAAGAAGTAATTAATTCCAACAGTGTGGACAAGTTTAGCATTATATATATGTATATGTATACAATTACATTTGTATATCGTTCGATTCACTCATATTTCTGATTTCAATTTGAAAGTTCAATAATTGTTTTATTGACAGAAATGAGTTTTGATGTACTTGTGTTTTCTCGATATATATCTTCTATTTGTGAAATTGTACCTACAGTCAGGAATTACTATCTAAATGTGGTTGATGTAATGATGTATACCCCTAAGTGGTTTATTTTGTACTTTCAGACTGCTCCTTTGGTCGGATGAGTCATGACTGGATATTAAGCTGTATGACACGTACTTAATATGTTTTTGAAATAAAAAGATTTAAAATAGAAGTTCCGTATTCAATGTATAAAGATTTGAGAAAACTCATATTGTCAAAGTTATATCGTTTAAAATCCATAGTAGATATACTTCTTCATTGCAGAAACCAAGAACAAACCTGCAGCATACCACTGTGTATCGTAAAGGGTGACTTATGTGACATAACTATCACTTTTATTAAGACAAGAACGCTTTCCTGAGTAGCATATCTAGTGTCATGGTTTAAATTATCATAACATTACTACAAGCACCTTATAATTGTATTATAAAACCTTATTTATCATAGAACAAATGTTTTTAACTGCATTTGCTTTTGTAGATCATAATGTTCTAATAAAATATGAAACTCACGGAAATGTCAACCCACAGCTAGATTTGATTTGAGTAATACGTTGACCAAAGAGAACAATCCATTGACGCTGATAACATCACATCCAAACACCAAACACAATGCAATAGGTGTTCTACAGAGATCCACCATGGTTCCCCTTTGTTTTGTTGGTGTCTTTCGTTATATACAGAGCAAACGAGGGTTGAATTGTATGCAGGACTACATAACTACAATCGATCTCAACAGGAAGTCTCTAAAATACATTAAACATAAACTGGAATTAGATCTAAATCACATAACGGTATAATAAACAGTATGAAATTTAACCATGACCAAAAAACAACTTGTATGCTCATTGGTGAAACCTGTGTAATGAAGGGCGTGCGTAATTTCGAACTACAAATTAATGTTCAATCTTTGAAGGCGTTATTTACCCATAAAGGAGCAAGGGTTCATGTAAAAAAGCACCGTTACCTGGACGACAGATCATGCAACTTTTTTTATTCTCCATTATACACAAGCTCTAGTATTGTTGATATTCTGAATGGTACAGTTACATTTCTTGTCTTCGACAAATGCAAACTAAAGCATGTAGATAAAGATGTAGATCCTGAGTAGCTTGGTATAACTGAACCTGAAATAGTTACTTATTTTTAAATATAACGTCTTCATGAAGTTGCGCCTATCCAAACTTGAAAGTTAAGGTGATAAAGTAGCAAGTTGACAAAAGTGGATGCTTATCTCAAATGTCCACATCCTTCCCAAATCTGTCGATGATTGATATTGGAAGAATGGATTTGGTTCTCAATAGGTTTCAGAAATTGTGGTGTGGAGTATTGCTTTTTATTAAAAAAAACCCACCTGGTAATGTAAAGAAAAAGGACAATCTGTTTTGTTCGTACCGGTAAAGGGATTTAATGTCCGGTTTCCTATTTACCGAGGATGACGACACTTGTTTACAAACAACTGTAATGACGTCAACACAAGCAATTTGTTTTACATAGATAACCGTTACAGGCTTGTTACTCGTTATTTCATTGATGACTAACAGTTTATCTCCACCTCCGGTCTCTGTAAAAGGTTTGCCTTCCAGGAACAGTGCAATTATATCTTTTCGTCCATTCTATAACAGTTCACTGTAGAACCCCGACCCGGATATAGGTACGTCTTCGTCAATCTGCCTACACTGTCCCAACTGACAAGAAACGCTAAAACTAAAACCGCTTCATGACCACGCAACACTTTTAATTTTATTCAATGTAAAATGCACACGCGCTTAAAAAATCGTCGAAAAGAGCGGAAGGCTGATTTCTGCCACACATGGTCGCATATATATGATATGTACAGTAAAATGTACATGTCAAACTAATCAAACGTTTTCACTTATTACTTGAAATTATTGTGCGGGCAATAGTTTGAAATATTTTCTCAGAAAACAGAAGTAGTTATTGACGGAAATTGATGGTCATTTGCAAGTTCTATTTGCTTAGTGAAGGAGTGTGAAAGTTTCGGCTTAAGGCTAATGTGTTTTTGATTGGCCCAAACACTTCGGTGACGTTTTGGTATATAAAATAGATGTATAATATTACACATAACGTCAAACAAGGCACTGTCAAGTCAAGAAGTCTATATACATAATTGATTTTCATTTGTGATTAAGTACTTTCTGATAGAAAGTTAGTTTATGAATCCAAAACAAACGATATCCTTTCATGTTCCGAATGATTTTTGTTACAAAGGTAACAGTTACAGTTTAGAATAGTAAACAACCATGCATTTAACACCATACCTTAAGATAATTAATGAGTGATGAAGTGCATAGCATCAAACGAGGTAAGTTCTGCTACAGTGCACAGGACAGGTTATGACAGACCAAAGACGTGAGAACAATAAAGCAGACATGTATTACCTTTATTGGCGTGAAATAAACACTCTAGACATCGTAGGAATTTAGATTATCACTCGACAAAAGAAAATACAGCTATCTAGCAAACATAAGCCACTCTAAAGCGCTTTTCAGTACATAGATATACAATTAGCATATACATTAATACAATTTTGAGGATTTTGCAGGAGCTGCCTTATCAGGCGCAAACTACTAGTCCTATGCCACCTGGCTAATATCTCCCTATGTGTGTATGCCTGCGTGTAAGTAGTGGGACCGTGCTTCCAACGGCATATTTTATAGAGACACCTCACTTGAATGCTACAGCACAGATACCGTCACATCCACCCCAGACCAATTTATACTCCACCTGGGTTGTTGGAGTTGTGTGGGCAGGAGAAAAACACTTTCTCTGAATATCCATGCTTACGACGACTTCGGGGATCGCACCCCGGTCGCCTGCGTGGAAGGCCGGAGTCCTAACCACTCGACCAATCAGCCCAAAAAGATAGTTCTAAGTTGAGAAAAAGCAAGCTGTTTATCTCTGAGGATATGTATTAAGTTTTACCGAGACAAACACAAATGTATTTTGTCTAGGACAGTGTTTTCACCACCTAGTGGAAGAGGCGAAGTTTATCTTCTGTATGAGTTTGGAGCATGATAAATGGACAGGTCTATGATTTCCGGATTGACGGAGTCGACATTTTGAAATTATTAGTAACCGTTGCGCATATAAAAAGTTAATCAGATAAAAAAAAAAAAAAAAAAAACCAATCAAATCAAGAATTCTGGTGATGGGGAAACTATTTTCGCAACAGGAGAGAGAGAGAGATGAAGAGTTGTTTTCTTAGATATTTTGATTAATCAGCTGACTTTTTTCTTATGTTCTTTCTGATGTTCAAATCGTTGGAAATATTAGACTCTGCTTTGACCAATGTTACAATGATCATGTGTAATCATCAATTTTGATTACAAATGTTGAATAGTGTTTTAGATAGGCAATCTAAGCTAAATGTGACAAAGGTGGAATATTCCATCACATCGAAGTATTATCAACTTGATAATAGTTAGATCAAGAACTTTTTTAATGCTATTTTGTCGTTGAACAAGAGTTAAAACTAGGATTGCACCAGAAACCGGAACCGACTACGTTACACCACGGAATTGTGGTTACACTTATTCAAATTAAAGTCGAAAAAGCGCCCATTCATCCTTCTCAGACCTACTGCACAATATGAGCAGCACACCCCTTAGGGTCAGCTTCTGTCCAGGAAGATGATGATGATGATGATGATGATGATGATAAAAAGCTTTGGTTGCTAGGCCTGTTAACAGGTCATCATGAACACGTCACACCACACTAGTTGGGAATCTCACGCTGCCACATGCAACTTGTGATTCCTTTCAGAAAAAAAAGGCATCTTAATGCACCCAACCCTGTTTCTCTGTTTATTATATATCATAATTCAATTAGGATGTTGAACGAACCCCTGTGTTCGAACTTATATGTTATACTTTACAAGACCCTGGGTCTTGCGTGTGGGCGAAGCAGGATATCATGCGCGCTATTTGATTGGTTCGTAGCCGACACACCTTCCACGACTCCCTTTTTCTCGACCAATGAAAATCGGTGTTACAACGGATTTGTTTAAGGTTAGCAAACAGTGTTACAAGGACATTCGTGGAAGAAATAGTCGACTGGTATTTTCTTCAATATACAGGAACCATGTATCGACGTGTGGCGAGTGAAGTTTGCAAGACATTGCCCAGATTGAGTAATGGAACTGCAAGTAGAATTGCTGGAGTGACCGCTATCAGACCATACTCCGATGATCATGCTGCTTTGGACAAATTGTCATTCTCTGAAACTGTCGATAGATTTTTCGACAAAGCAGCTGATTTGGTTGAAGATAAATTAGCCGATACCATGAAGGGAAGACTAACAATGGAAGAAAAAAAGAGAAAAGTGAGGGGCATATTGAAAATGATCAAACCGTGTAACCATATGATTGAATTAACTTTCCCTATCCGTCGTGACAACGGAGAGTTTGAAATCATTGAAGCGTGGCGTGCACAGCACAGTCAACATCGCACACCGTGTAAAGGAGGTAAGCAGTGGTGTAATTTTATTATTTTGCATACCAGAGAATAATGTTCATTCCTCCTGCATATTTTTTATTTTGTATAAAGTCGTCCGTACCATAAAATGGACATTGAAAAATATACCAAAGGGAGATAACTCGACCAGATAATTCAGCTGTTCCCTAGGCCTATATATGACTACTAGTACACGTCAACTTTGAGGACGTTTTCTTATCGAACAGTTACACTAATTAATCTTGGTGTATGGGCAAAACTATAAAACATTTTTACAGTCAGAACTGTACTGGTGCAGTCTCGCGCTGTTTACTTGTAGCAGTTTTGCAGTTTGCACTTGTTAACATGCTGTTAGTGCTATTGCCATCCTTCAGCTAAGTTCATCTTTAAAGCTTCCCTATTTTAGAGAAAGATTGGGATTTTTTTCGCTTATGTTTAAAATATTTTTGAAAAAAAAATGAATGCCTTCATCTTGCTTCTTGACCAGTTTCAATTAATTCATTGTATAGAAAGTTCTGCATAACCCCATACCACTTCCAAAAACTGTGTATATGCTGCTTATTGCAATTGCAACTGGGCTTTTTTCGGCAAGACTTAAGCTTTGATAAATCTTTTCTTAAAAGAAAATTGTACTTGTGAGACTTTAATAAAAAAAATAATAAAGATGAAAAAACCTCAAATCATAATCAACAAACAGAGTTCCGAGTAAAAATTCAGCAGGACTAGACTCGGTTTCAAACCCTGGTCCTAAGGTTGTTACAGTATCACTCTAACTGACTAAGCTACTTGGTAATGGAAGCGCCCTGGCCCAACTGTGCTTACAGTTATTTATAAAACAAATTTAAGGAGAGGTAAATCCTAAGAAAAACCACAGTGCAGCAGGACAGAGACCATGAGAACATTTTCGTGTCAAAAAGGGGTCATTCAAGATTTTGGCTTTCACTTTTTCTTCCATGGTAAATTTGAAATATCAGTAAGTTGGCCATTCACCTATAAAACTTATTTTTGACAATGCTAGAGCAAGTACCAAGTATTTTTGAATTAAGCTGGAGTGGCAGCCTCCTTCTGAAAGCATGCATATCAATTGGGTTTGGGTATGTCTGTGTATTTCTTTTTGTGGCTAGCAAATTATTGTGCCTCTTTTTCTGTATATCTGTACAAAAGGATCACTCAGAGCTACAGCAAATGTGCTTTCTCATAGGTATCTCATAGGTAAGACTTCAATGGAAAGCCTGTACGTGGCTTGTAGTGATGTTATTAATCTGCATTTTGTTAATTGATCGGTTGATGATGGAGTGTGTGAAGAATGGCAAACATTGTATGAAATTAAATGTATCTAGACGTCTAGTGAAGTCTAATTGTCGCAATAGTATTAATTAATATTTACACATCGTAGATTAAAAGGACAGATAAAATTTGTGTGCATGATCTTTCCAGTGCACGTTTAACCTATTTTTAAAAATATTCAAACTTTTGGCATTAACCATTTCAGCTGATAAATTGTTCCAATTTGTGACTACACGATTGTTGAAAATGTTCTTGTTGGTGTTTAAGCGGCATTGATTTGTTTCTTCAAGAGCTTTAGCTGGTGACCTCTAGTTGCCGGATAGGTTTTGACTCAGTAAATAATATCGACTTGTCAATATGATTATTATTTAAAATTAATAAATAAACAAAAGGTGACGGTCAAAATTATGCAAACCCTCAAGCTCATGGCAAACTATTATGAAAAATAATCATAAACCTGATAAAATATTTGGTTTGGTAATATTTGATTCAAATGCAATTATTGATTGGGTTTTAGGTGTACACACATACTATGCTGTCCTGACGGCAATGACAATCCAGGGCTATTACTAACTCGCCCCATTCAATGTCACCTACATGACCTGAAACTAAATGAATATTGTGCATGTTATAAACGTCATTCGTAATATAAGTTTTGTTTTAAAATGTTTTGTAGATAATACCAACAAAAGCATGCAGACAATGGTACAAATCCAAAAAACATATTGCTGTTAGTTTGATTAACAATAAACTCATTCTCATTCTAAACATGGGACACTACGTGGGTTTGTAAGCAGACAACTTATGCATACACATACAAAAACTTCATACGAATGGTTAATCCTAAAATCAGTAAACCCAAAGTGCTCTTAAATTTCATTTTAGCATCAATGTTTCTGAATAGGTCAACACTCATTTGATTTTCTGTTTTGAATTCATATGACTCTAAAAGCTGCTAGTGTATTTAATACACTATGTATACACATGTACAGTAGACTAAAAGAAATCTTGCTTTCTGATGAGAAATAGTCAATCAGTTATCATGAATGGATGATCGAGTATTTCCATTCTCCTGTAAAATGTATAAACTTCTAATGTTAATCTTGACATCAGTACCAATAGTTCCGGGACAAAAATGTCAATAAATAATCTGTTATTTGAGCAGCTACAGTGTAGCTTCAAATAGATTAAAAAAGTGAATTGCAATGACTGATAATATTAATCTGACAGCTCTATACATATTACAGCATGTGTTGTAATCCCCTTATGAATTTAAAGCAAAAAATGGAGGGGACACCAAACATTTAAATTGTTATGCTTGTGACTGAAATTGTAAAAAATAAATGCCAATACCACAATACTGTGTCTCAGCTTATCATAAACTATATGTGTAAATCTGGCCTGTGTACAGAATCTGTGTACTCTGTACTGCCCATTCTGTTTGATCTAGACACTGTTTATATGACGAGTTGATGTCCTCACCCAGGTAGGCCAGGGCTAACATGTAAAAGCCTGCTTAGCTTAACAAGGAATGAAGATCTTTCATTTGGTTTCAAAAATACAAGATGAACTGAAAACTGAAATTTAATGTTTACAATTTTACGTGACCACCTCAAGACAAGAAGCACAAAAAATGGTTTTTAAAATTTTAATTTGAAAAATAAAGTTAACAACTTGTTTGGCTACCAGTCTTTAACAGCTGAGTCAGTGACTTGTGGCTATCATCTAAATAATCAGCAAGGCTGTCTGCTCAGGTCACCAGAATCAGTATGTAACTCATAACGGAATAATGGGATGTATGTTGTGTCAAGTATTATTTACTGATTATTATTTGGCCTTCAGTCATACTACTTCTAGATAATTATATAACAAGTAAATAAGATGCCCAATCCACCTCATGTCAGTCATTGGAATTCTTTATAAAAGCAATATTTCACAATATTACAACAATACTTGAAAGGTGACAATCATTTCATAAGAGGCCATCCCTATTAAGCAATACTCGTTATTTATTTAAATGAATTAAAAGAGAACCATCAATTAAGTTAAGGTATATTATTACCATTATCAATATGAGATTTTTGTTCAGTTCATTTTCCAAAGACATAAACAACAGTATTCCATATAAATCACATCTTGTGATGTATCTAAGAGAATTATAGTTGTTCAAAAATTGTGGTACTTGAAATGAAAACAAAATCAGCAGGAGATAAGCTCAGAGTCAGTTTAATGCTTTTATTACACTGTGCTTATGTTGTTATCCAGGAATTATAGATGCACAGCATCAAAATAAGAGATGAATACCCTGACAAGGGAAGTAACTCAGAGCCAGGAAAGCCGATTTTTTTACTTCATTATCCATATAGAAAGACCAACATTTTCTCATTCCGTTAAAGCACTCTGATATTGATCACCATCTGTATAAAGTCCTCTGAGATGACAAAGTGTAAAAAGAAAAATGGAAGTACATGCAGATATAATGCTGAATGGTTATAGCAGTATGTACTGCGGTTAGGGTGTATGACTGAGTGACACACCAACCTTTGATACTGTGTGCTATATATGTTGGTAAGATGTAGGAATGTTGGTAGAAGTACTTCCCACACATGTGTGTGATTACTTATGTGTACAGCTGTGAAATACTGATACTATTAAGTACCAAAGTGGATAAGCTATAGCTTATTACAGGGGAATGTGAGAGTGTGAATCTCTCCACATCTTCATACATATGGTGAAGGCCACACATCAATACCTAGTCATTTGGGACTGTTAGCTGTAGTACTAGTGTAGAAGAATGTAAAATAGAAACACAAGTCAGAGATATACATTACCACATTGATCACTTTTTATAGTAAAAAGGAAATTCAAAATTATTTCATGTATATATCTATTTTCTTCATTAAAACTTGTTTTTGTCTTTTAGCAAGTTGTATCGGAGATACGGGTGCCCTATAGTAATCACTCTGTCTGACTGACTGTCTGTCTGTCTGTCTGTCCGTCCACAAATTTTGTTCCTGGCTGATAACTTTGGTATTTATTGACCGATGTACATGAAACTTAGTCAAGATGTTCAGTTCACAAAAATACACATTGATGTAAAAAGTCAAGGTCAAAGGTCAAGGTCATTCGGTTCAAATGTCAAGGTCAAATTTTGCATCTTTTTACTGATGAACATTTTGTTATGACGTGATGAAGCAAAGTTGATCAGAATTAAACAAGGAGTCAACCTGACCAAATGTCAAGGTCATTGGGTCAAAGGTCAAGGTTTAATTTTGCATCTTTTCACTGGTGAACATTTTGGTATGACACTTTGAAGCAATGTTGCTCAGAATTAAACAAGTAGTCAACTGACCAAAGCTCAAGGTCATCGGGTCAGGGGTCAAGGTCAAATTTTGTAGCTTTTCACTAAGGAGCATTTAATGACATTATAAAGCAGAAGTTGATAAAAATACCCTCCTTCTACAGACAATTCACATGCTACATGAAATATTGAAGAATAGTAATAGACTAATGGTTCTATGAAACATACTGAAATTAACCGCCTTCTTTGTGATGGATATATGCATGCATGCACCTTGTAATGTTATAAAAACCATGAATGTATTAATAAATCATCTATTAATCAGGAAGATTATACATATCAATGAAAGTTGAACAATTGAATGCCAGGGAAAACTTACCATTTTTAAAGGTGAAGAAATGCCTAGATAGTAACAAAACAGCAAACTAGCTATTTATTGGGTGATTTAAAATTGTAACAGGAGTCAATTTGTAATGACTTTGTGTGTTTGTTACAGGTATCCGTTACAGCCCTCTTGTGAATGTTGATGAGGTACGTGCCCTTGCCTCACTGATGACATACAAGTGTGCTGTGGTGGATGTGCCATTTGGAGGGGCCAAAGCTGGGGTGAAGATTAACCCTGCAGACTACTCTGAAAGGGAGCTGGAAAAGATCACTCGGCGCCTGGCAATGGAACTAGCAAAGAAAGGATTCATAGGTTAAAGTCTACATTTATCCTTTACCATAGACTGGAATTCAGTCTTTTTAAAACAGTCATTGCAATCAACTAGTCTCATCCAATCAGCTGAATTTTAGCTCACCTGGCATGAAGGCCTGTTAGCTCATATCTGGTATGATGTGGCATACATTGATCAACATATTCTTTGAAAAGCTTCTTTGTAAGAACTGGAAGACTAAGGGCCATATTAAGCCAGTAGCTACCTGGGATGGATTGCAATAAAGTCTCCTAAAATAAATGACCTTGACCTGCATTTTGATATCTCAATTTCTCCGATACAAGGCCAGAGTCATCAAACTTCTTATACAGATATTTTTTCAGCGGAACTACAACATCTTGTTACATGTAGGTCACTGCGACCTATATTCTTTTGCTTCTCTGAAATTTGGCACCTCAAATATAAACTCTGATCATGAAGGATTAAAGATAAATATTGATATTGCTTTGGTATGATAAAATGTGATGTCTGATAAGGGTTAAGTGAATTAAAATCAATTAAAACCAGAGATTTAATGAAATGTGAGAAAAACATTGGATGAAAGCCCACAATGTCTGGCTGGTATCATTGTTTCTGAAGCATTCTCTAAACAGCAAATCTTAAAAATAATTACTGTGAAGATTTGCTATGCATAGACTCCTTTAACAGACTTTAAGTTTTCTGTCTAATGTTGTAGTAAACACATTTTTGTCATTTATTTCATTTACCACCAATATGTGTTAGATACGTTTATAATGCTTAACATATGAATGTAGTAATTTAGACTTCTTACTGATGTTTTAACAAGAAACAATTTTCTTTCCATATGGAAACAGTTCCTTAGGTGCAAGTGTTATTTTCATATGAGGATAATCCTAAAAATATACAGGAAGACATTTAAGGGTATATATTGTTGCCGCATTTAAGGGTATATTTTGTTGCCATGCTGGTTTGAAGTGGAGTAGAGTACAGACTGGTGCATTTGCTTCGTATTTACCTGAAATATGTTGATGTACCATTTATCTATTATATGGTATTTTTGTATACAGAAAACCTCCTTAATTTAATAAACAACTTTTACGGAATTCATGCGGTCTTGTGAATGCCGTTTTTTAAGTCAAACAAGAGAGTATCAATAATTTACACAATAATGTAAGATGTCTCTTCATTATTGAGAGTTTGAATTAAAATCTGGTTGTCATTGTAGGGCCTGGTATTGATGTACCAGCACCTGACATGGGTACAGGAGAGAGGGAGATGAGCTGGATAGCTGACACGTACGCCAACACGATAGGTCTGTATACCAGAGTACATACACCAACACAATAGGTCTAGATACCAAAATACATATACCAACACCACAGGTCTGTATACCACAGTACATACACCAACACAAAAGGTCTAGATACCAAAATACATATACCAACACCACAGGTCTGTATACCACAGTACATACACCAACACAATAGGTCTAGATACCAAAATACATATACCAACACCACAGGTCTGTATACCACAGTACATACACCAACACAATAGGTCTAGATACCAAAATACATATACCAACACCACAGGTCTGTATACCACAGTACATACACCAACACAATAGGTCTAGATACCAAAATACATATACCAACACCACAGGTCTGTATACCACAGTACATACACCAACACAAAAGGTCTAGATACCAAAATACATATACCAACACCACAGGTCTGTATACCACAGTACATACACCAACACAATAGGTCTAGATACCAAAATACATATACCAACACCACAGGTCTGTATACCACAGTACATACACCAACACAAAAGGTCTAGATACCAAAATACATATACCAACACCACAGGTCTGTATACCACAGTACATACACCAACACAATAGGTCTAGATACCAAAATACATATACCAACACCACAGGTCTGTATACCACAGTACATACACCAACACAAAAGGTCTAGATACCAAAATACATATACCAACACCACAGGTCTGTATACCACAGTACATACACCAACACAATAGGTCTAGATACCAAAATACATATACCAACACCACAGGTCTGTATACCACAGTACATACACCAACACAAAAGGTCTAGATACCAAAATACATATACCAACACCACAGGTCTGTATACCACAGTACATACACCAACACAATAGGTCTAGATACCAAAATACATATACCAACACCACAGGTCTGTATACCACAGTACATACACCAACACAAAAGGTCTAGATACCAAAATACATATACCAACACCACAGGTCTGTATACCACAGTACATACACCAACACAATAGGTCTAGATACCAAAATACATATACCAACACCACAGGTCTGTATACCACAGTACATACACCAACACAAAAGGTCTAGATACCAAAATACATATACCAACACCACAGGTCTGTATACCACAGTACATACACCAACACAATAGGTCTAGATACCAAAATACATATACCAACACCACAGGTCTGTATACCACAGTACATACACCAACACAAAAGGTCTAGATACCAAAATACATATACCAACACCACAGGTCTGTATACCACAGTACATACACCAACACAATAGGTCTAGATACCAAAATACATATACCAACACCACAGGTCCAACTTACACACAATTTGAAATGGTCACAATAACAGCACTCAAATAATATTTCCTTTACATGTTTAAAGTAACTTTTATCAAAGTGTAAAAAAAAAAAGGATATAATGGAAATCAAAAATTTTGCTTTAACAATTATGTCAATATTCATATATATATATATCTAAAAATGAAAACATGTATGAGTTGTTAGAATGTTATGTTATTCCTTTAAGTTCTGATTCATATCTCTACATTGACATGATCTTTGTGAATTTTAGGATACCTTGACATCAACGCTCATGCCTGCATCACTGGTAAACCCATCACACAAGGTGGCATCCACGGTCGTATCTCGGCCACAGGCCGGGTAGGTCTCAATATATGTTTCTTTGAAGTGTATCTCTTAGGTGTATCAAAGTTATGGTAGGTCTTCCCTAGTATCAGTTAGTGATCCATCTGGGTACCATTTCCGAAATTCCGGTGGTTATGCTCCTTTACGTCCTCTGCTCCCCTGAAATATGTCATGACAGGTATCAGTCCAGAGATTGGTCAGTTGTTTTTTACCTGAAAGCAATCAAATAGCTAGCTATGTTGTGTAAATTTTGCCATGACACTCCAGAGATGCAGAGAGCATCAGTGAGCGTAACCCTGGAACTCTATCAGAGGATGTCTGGATCAAAGCCATCATGTTTTGTATAAATGTACTCCTATCTAGATTTCGATGGACACTCATATACTATATATATATATATATGTAACATTAAATCTACTATTTTGCCATGTGTAATGTCTGAAAAAAAGAAACATTATTTACAAAACTTTTGCCAAACAATATTACATACAATATTATCCTTCTTTCTCAAACTTAGGTTGTGTTGACATTTACCTTTACTATCTGCCTTTATACTATTTTACAGGGAGTGTACCATGGTATCCAGAACTTTGTGAACGAAGCAAGCTACATGAGTATGATTGGTCTCACTCCTGGCTTTGGGGACAAAACCTTCATTGTCCAGGTACATATTCAACTAGATAAGAAGTCACAATGTGACCATTTTCTGTCTACAATACAACATATACTTAACAAATAGTGCAGGGGCCCTGTTCAATTGCAACATTGGCTGATAGACTAAGCCTTCGGACGTGTTAATGATGATGCAGTGATAGCTATAAAACTATGTTTGTCCTGGAAGCTGTTTGTTTATGGGGAACAACCGGTACATTTGTTTTTAAATGTAACGTTTTGAGGTATAAATCCTGGTAGATCTGCAAATGTTTATGCAGGCTTTGCAAGGCTTTGTCAAGGCTTGCCTGAAAGCAGCATCAGATTACTTGGTCCAACCCTATTTCGTAAACGAACAACTCTTGTCCAGCCGGTTAAACTGTTTGGATCGCGATAATTGAATACCGCCCTGATTTCATGGTTTTTTTTAAACCTCTCCAACCATTTAGAATGTAACAAAATTTGCCCATGTGTTTTAATATTGCCTTTTTAGTTTTACTTTTTTCTTATAATCTTGATTAAGTAGAGTTGATTTCAGATTCATTCTATGCTTTTAAGGTACACATTAGGGTTTACTTTAATTTACCGTCAATATTTTAGGGTTTAGGCAATGTCGGTCTGCACACAATGAGGTACCTCGACAGAGCCGGAGCCAAGTGTATTGGTATCATTGAGAAAGATGGCAGCATCTACAACAGGGATGGTATCAGTCCACGTGATATGGAAGACTACAAGATTGTAAGTAAAAAATCTGGATATGAAATATTTGCTTTCTCCCTGTGCAGTCTCAATATGTTTAGGGTTCTGTGTCAGTGGTATACATAAGGGTATTTATTTTTAGTATCAACTTGTCGTGGGATTCATTTTACTAATAGGGTATTAGTGTCTGGTGTGAATATCAATGTCTTGGATATTCATTAGAGTATTTAGTGTATGTGGTAAACTTAACATATTCAGTGTCTGGGGTATTCTTTATAATATTTGGTATTTTTGTGTCGCCTGCAACGCCTTTCAAATTTTGTACGGTAATTCTAGAAGCAATGATGTTCAACATATATAACAGGTTTTTCTGTCGAGTTTCAACTTTCTGCGTTTTGGAATATTACACTTGACATAGCAATGCTGTTCATCGTTTTTGTCATTAAATTTTGCTTGTTTACGCAATAACTCAAGCCAAAACACTTCCCACTAAAAGCGCTGAGCAGGCGACAGACACATCCACTCCTGTGGAATTCTTGTTCATTTTAAGTCTTCATTTTTGAACGCAAACAAGTAATGAGTGTCTTAGATTTACATTCGATGATACTGATTTACTTGCAGAGACAGGTCTTAGGTATTTACTGATATAGCATTTGGCTGAAAATTCCATGGAAAAAATCAATTCATTTATATCTTCATTACTGTGTAGATATATTCAGTTGTTATATCTTCAGTTTCAAGTTCAGATGAAGTAATGGCAGAATAAATGGTTGGTTTGTACACCTTAGTTGCATACAATATTTACTTAACTACACAATCTGTGTCATTTTTGTTTGAAAATCTTACTTAATAAAAGCAGCTAAGGGCAGAACTGCATTGAGTACTCCATTCAAAGTGTATGGTGTTACTTCAAAATATGTAATAAATAGAAAATTAATGGTTTTCCCCTTGAATACCATATATATTTCAATGATATAGCAGAATGCGCCAATATATTCACACTAGTGCTTCAAATTTGTGAAAAATAACGATATTCCGCCATACGCATGAAATATATATGGTGTTTCCCTAATATTCCCTCTTTATAACTGGTATTAGGTGTTTGATTGCTGGTATGGGTTATTAGATTATACTGTCACAAACAACCTACTTATCAGTCTACGATATTGCAGTAGTTTGGTTTGGTTTGTTTGGGTTTTACGTCCTATTAACAGCTATGGTCATTTAAGGATGTGCCAGGTTTTGGTGGTGGAGGAAAGCCGGAGTTCCCAGAGAAAAAACATCCGCCTACGGCCAGTACCTGGTAACTGCCCCACATAGGCCTCGAACCTGCGACCCAGTGGTGGAGGGCTGGTGGTAGCAGAATGTCAGATGCCGTAACCACTTGGCCACCGCGGCCCCCGTATAGCAATAGCCAAACAATAAATCGTAACAATGACACATCTTTACAGGACAATGGCACGATCATCGGCTTCCCGGGAGCCTCAGTCTATGAAGGTGACCTGATGTTGGAGAAGTGCGACATCTTGGTGCCAGCTGCCAGTGAGAAACAACTCACCAGTGAAAATGCTTATCAAATCCAAGCAAAGGTAAATATAATGACAATACTTAGGTCAAGGCATCTGTGCAATAATAAATCATTATCTCTCATTTCGGATGTACTGGTAATTATAATGGTTTTATCTGTGTATCTTTCTTTCGTGGTTTGAAGTCATTTACATTGTTTTGTGGTACAAACTTTCATGGATACCCCCATACAAACAAACAGTAGTCAAGTATATCCATTTAATTTGTTGTATTTATTTTGGGGTTCCATAGCAAGCATGAAAACCACAAATGTTTTTACACAGCCCACATTTCTTGTTGTACAGCATTTGTTGAACTTCTCTGTTATGATAAGAAATAAATATCTCCTACCTGTATAACAACTATTTACATTCATGTTAAAATTTGAATAATAAATAGAAATGCAGCAAATACGTGTGCAACTTAACTAATGCCATTTCACACATCCTGGCTGAGAAAACCTATCAATATTGCAAAGTAGTTTGAAGCTTTCAGGACAACTTACAGAGCAGAGGGTTTTATTAGCTCACCTGGCCCGAAGGACCAAGTGAGCTTATGCTATGGTGCAGCGTCCGGCATCCAGCGTCAATATTTTACTATAAACAACTTCTTCTTAATAACCAAAATGCCCTGGATGATGATATTTGGCCAGTAGCATGCTGGGATGAAGGGCTACCAAGTTTGTTCAAATGAATGACCTTCATCCATTTTCAAGGTCACATGGGTCAATTGTCTTAAAAATTCTTTAAACAACTTCTTCTGAATAACTAAGAGGCCTAGGATAATGATATTTAACCAGTAGCATGCTGGGATAAAGGGATACCAAGTTTGTTCAAATGAATGACCTTGAAGTATATCCAAGGTCACAGGGGTCAAATATCTTTAAAAAAAACAAAAAAACTTCTTCTCCATAACCCAAAAACCTAGGATGATGATATTTGACCAGTAGCATGCTGGGATAAAGGGCAACCAAGTTTGTTCAAATGAATAACCTTTACTTATATTCAAGGTCACAGGGGTAAAATATGTTTAAAAGCTTTAAACAGCTTCTTCTGAATAACCAAGAGGCCAAAGATAATGATATTTGGCCAGTAACATGCTGGGATAAAGGGCTACCAAGTTTGTCCAAATGAATAACCATTACATATTTTCAAGGTCACAGGGGCCAAATATGTTTAAAACCTTTAAACAACGTCTTCTCAATAAGCAAAACGCCAAGGGTGATGATATTTGGTCATGAACATGAAGGATGAAGGGCTACCAAGTTTGTTCAAATGAATGACCTTCGCCCATATTCAAGGTCACAGCGGTCAATATTTGTTTAAATCTTTAAATGACTTGTTCTGTATAGCTATGAACTCTGTTCAACCAAATGTCCTTGTTCGACATTTTAGGTTACAGGCGTCATATGTTTAAATCTTTTAATAGGTTCTTATGAATCAAACACTGATATTCTGCCTGTAGCTGTATTTTAGTCCACTTTTAAGATTACAAGTGTGAGATTAATACCAGGTGAGCAATTCAGGCCCAATGGGCCTCTTGTTAAAAGATTTTTTTACCTTGTTTAGATTAAACTAAGATTCATCATATGTCAGTTGTTTGCTATTCTACTGAAAAAATAAAATACTCTTCCCTGCTTGTAATAAATGGACAGCGATCGATTGTCCTTATCGTTTTTTGAAACAGTCAACACATAATTGTGATTAGTTGTCAGTATGCAGTAAAATAATTCCATGAAATTGCTTTATATTTCCATGGTGCTTTTTACAGATTATTGCTGAGGGTGCCAATGGCCCAACAACTATGGGGGCGGACAAAATCTTCCAGGAGAGGAATGTGCTAGTTATCCCAGTGAGTGCCTTTTGATTGTATTCTTTAAACCATATCTTGTCAAGCAATAATTTTGATGATGCATGTGTCAGGTTTTTTTCTCCATTAATTCTCAAACCCTGACTCAACAACAAACTGTGTTAAAAGTAATGATGTCTTCAGTGTGAAGACTTGGGGAAAATGAGCAAAGAGCGTTGTGGATTGAGACTGGATCTGTTGCTGAAGACCAGCTAGTTCAGTTGGTAGAGTGCCAATCTTGAGTTTCAGATCACAGATCTAAATACATTATATCTGTGCGGTCCCTCAAATTTTGCCTGTTCTATTTAATGTTGCTGGTCTACTTTGGTACGTCCATCCTTACAACTCTTCTCCCCTTACAGGATTTATACATCAATGCTGGAGGTGTAACGGTGTCCTACTTCGAGTGGCTCAAAAATCTAAACCATGTGAGCTATGGACGACTCACCTTCAAGTATGAGAAAGATTCAAACTACTTCCTTCTCCGTAAGTATTCAAATTTTGAATGTTTGTTGCTTTTTTTTTTTTGTGCGAAACATTTAAGGGAAATTTGTTATGATATATTCAATTGCAAGAAACAATGTTACCGGTGACAGGGGATAAGAAGTTTACCTTGCATATGTACAAGCACCAGTGTTGTGTTACTGGTTAATTTATGTAATTACATACAGTTAATTTGGTACTGGTTAAATATGTTACATACAGGCTGACAGATGTATTTACATAGGTATTCTGTTATTGGGTGAAATATGCATTTACACACAGGTAGTCAGCTTTCAGTTACTTTTTTAATACCAATAACATGTTGGGTGCCAACCCAAAAAGGAAGTTCCTGGAAAATGAAATTTTCAGAAGCTTACCTCTATATCAGACAATTATTAAGATCATGCATCAGAGATGTGGGTGCCCTGAAGTAATTACTGTGTCGGTCTGTTCATTCACACTCTCATTTCCAAAAATTATCCAAGTATCCAGAAACTGTCCAATGGTACAATGTTTTATGTGGATGTGCAGTAAGTTTTGATAAATCCTTTGATCATAGGAGGAGGGGTTCAAGCTACAAAAAGTATGTTGTATTTGCCTTTCTGACCTGCTAGTGTTGATTTTGGTGGTAAATTGTATTTGGTTGTACCAAGAGTTGTTCGTTTATGAAATAAGGTCGGACCTAGTAGTCAGATGCTGTTTTCAGGCGAGCCTTTGCAAAGCTTTGCATTGCCTGCATAAACTTTTGCAGGTCTGACAGGATTTATACCAAATATATTACATTTAATAACACACCAACTAGTTGTTCCCCATAAACAAACGGGCCCCTAGTGAATATTCAGGCTGGCTGCTGGTCAAGGTCATCATGAGACATTTCTGACTGGCTGAGATATACATGTCTATAAGTTTGGTTTTATTTGTACTTAGAAGATAGTCTACAAAGTGAATAAGGGCATATTATTCAGATCCCATAATTTAAGATGGCCACATCTGATAGGCCAAGAACTTTCTGGTGTTAATTTCTTTAGGTCTGTTTTTGTTCATACTTGGTGGTAAACAGTACTTGCTGATTACATATATATTTAATGCCTTCTTACCCATATTACAAATTAAAAGATGATAGGTGTTGTTTCTTCTTTGCTATTAAAGAGTATATATATGGTCTGGCACACAATGGACCCTCGCTGATGTGTCATTGTACATGTACTAGTTAAAATTTAAAATACCTTCATATATTTGCCTGCAAATACTTGCTCTTATTCATATGGTTATGTTTGTTTACCATCTGATTTTCTTTTTTTCTTTTTCTACAACAGAAAGTGTCCAAAACTCTCTGGAAAGGAAATTTGGGAAAGTTGGAGGATCAATCCCTATCAATGCTTCTGATGAATTTGAGAAGAGAATCCATGTAAGTGGGGAGTCTGATTGCCATATATAAGTAAAAAAAAATAGGTATATCATTATGTTACCATCAAAGACTTGTACTCTTTAAGAGAGTTTACACACAAGGAAGGCTAGGTTAGTTTGTGGGTGACATAGGCTTTCATGGTTCAAAACTGATTGTTGTCCAACTTATTGATAACACTCAGGTCACTGAATTATTAGAAGTAAAGGATAGACAATACAGGTAACTCATTATGCAAAGCACATGCATCATGTATAAGGTAGTCTGTAACCCATATGATATCATGCTTCATGGAGAAATCTTTGTTTCCTTTGAGATGTTCCTATGCAGTATCTTTAAATATTACTAAGATTAGCTGGCATAGTTTTGACAGTTTAAAAGTATTCATTCTATGTAACTAAGCCATCATGCCATTCATTTTTTCTTAATGGTATTTTGTGTTAGTTTTTAGGTCACCTGAGCTTTAGCTCAAGTGACCTATTGCTATCCGTTTTCGTCCGTCGTCGTCCGTTAACATTTTACATTTCAAACTTAAAGTCAAGTTCTGCTGGGCCGATTGAACTGAAAGTTGGTAGGAATGATCGCCTCATGGTCCTGACAAAGTGTTGTTATTTTTCGGGTCAATCAGAAATACAATTTGGCTGCCATGGCCGCTATTTTGCTACTAAGTTCTAATAGGCCGATCTCACTTAAAATTGGTCTAGGAATGATCAGCTCATGGTCCTGACAAAGTTAAGTTAACATTATACTATTTTTTACTCAAATTGGTACATACTTCAACAACAAAAATAAATACTATAGACTCAGGTGACCGTTAAGGCCCATGGGCCTCTTGTTAATAATTTGTATACCTACTTAAATATACTTGTTAACTAGTATTTCAAGCACTGCACCAGAGTTCAAAGGGCACAATTCTTGTAAACTTGCAATCTCATATTGGGTCAGTACTTGTGTCTGGAAATATATTAAGTATAACGACTTGTTACACTTGCCTGAGTGGAATAGGGAGATTTTATGTAATACATGTAACATGAAAAATAAATATGCAAAACTGTTTATTTTTTAGGGTGCTTCTGAAAAGGACATTGTACACTCTGGCTTGGAATATACAATGGAAAGATCTGCAAGGGTAGGTATAGTGAATGACTAAGGTAGCAGTGTACAGTAGAAATGGCTTGACCCTAAAAATAAAGGGCATGTCTCAGATAAACATAGATAGTGAATTCAACCTGCACAACACACCTACATATATACACATATTTATAAACTACATTTTGATTTCATTTTGTTTAGAAGACTGATTGTTTTTTTCAAAAACTGTTTTCCCCAGATTTGGGACTTGTGAAAACCATGGTTACCACATCAGGAAACACCAAAAATGCAAAAAAACGTTTTTAACCCAAAATTTGACCCCCGCATGTAAACTTTTTCTTAAAAACCCATCTGAAATTAAATACCGCCTACTCGGTAACAAAAATACTCACGTTTAAGCATAGGTCATTCCGGTGGATTTTTCACAATATTAACACATGTGCTGAGCACAAAAATAGACTACATGAAAAGCTAGCTTTTGTTGTGGAGACACAGATTTGTAAATGCCCAAAACTGTAGTCTCAAACCAAATTCGATTTTTCTTTTTTAAATATGAAGCCCACATCATCCACTTCATCATGTATATGCCAATTTTAGTGCTGATTTTTTTTTTGAAATGTTGATGCATGTTATATTTCAGGGGTTATTCATTGTATAAAAATATCACCAATGGCCATTGTACGCTACTGTACACTGCTACCTAAGAAACAAATACAGAAACTTATACTGCAAGTACAAACGTTGCACTGAAGAGATGTTGCTTCATTTGACTATTTGCACTATCTACCTGAAAAGTTCTGTTTGTTCATAATTTGATTTTAATTTCTCTTCAAAGTTTTGGTATTCTTTAGTTGAACAGCTGTATCTAGACCACACAAAGTGGAAAAAGGTTAACTGATGTAACGGACCTTTAGATGTAGTCTTGATCAGACAGTAAAATAATGAAAGCACTTGAAGTTGATGATTGTGTGTTGTTTTACAGAACATTATGAGGACAGCTATGAAGTACAACCTCGGCCTGGATCTGCGGACAGCAGCCTTCATCACATCCATTGAGAAAATCTTCAAAGTATATGAAGAGGCTGGCCTCACCTTCACATAGAGCTACTCGGGACAGTTTTTATTTTATCCTGTGATATCTTGTGATACACTATCAGGGCTGAGGAAGGAATGATTAAATAAACTTTTTGCAATTAAATATGAGTTTAGTAGAGGAGAAACTTTACAATTTTGTCCGTTTTTATGATAAAATGAGAATATTTTAGCGGGGAGAAAGTTTAAAAGCTGAACAGTTTGCACCTTATTAAATTTATCTATTGCTTATTATTATAGCAGGGGGAAATTTACTTCATTTTAGATCTGTAGAAACTGCTAGTTTATGCATTATGTTGGTTATTTATCTCTGTACTTAATCCCATTAGATGAGTACAATGTTCATACTTTGATATTAGTATGAAATACAGGTATTTTGGACTGTGGAAATGTATGTTTTTAGTTAGGGATATATGTACTGTGGAGCCTTTTATGGCCAGAAAACTGCCGGACTGTTCCATTTAAATTCATGTTCCTAATGCATTTATTGGTAGTGCTGGTTGTTGGTTATTCTAGACACTCAACAAGGGTTCAGTGTAAGTTAGTATGTATAATAGTGAAGTGAGGTGTAGATGTGTTAACATGTTTGAGTACATGTGTATTCAAAATATATGTGCTGAACAGCTTTCTAATATGAAAATTTGGAGTGTCTTTGAAGTAAAAATGTTCTTATTAAACAAATGAGATCAGTAGGCCAGTATAATATGCCAAAACAAACACAATTCACAAACACCATCATTCTCTCTAGCCTTTTTCTACAAGATTTCCGATGGTAGATTATATCAATCCATTCCATGCAGACCTACATGGGTCTTTGGTCATCAGCCTTTGTTCATCATGCTGTTTGGCTGAAAGAATATCATGCTTGAGGTTCAAAGTTGAGATGAGGTTGAAGTGTAGCTTGTGACATGTTGATTTAGTGCTGTTTTTCTCACCTGTGTTATTTTGATGGTGTACACATAGTGCTTTCTTCAAGTTTGTTTTGAGTCAGTTTTTTCTACTCCACATATAAACTGCACAGTATTTTGTGTCAGTAATACCACAGACAGCATATATATAAGCTCCTTGCATTTATCTGTACTTTTTCTTTTATACTTCTCGTGGTATTGTTAATTGTTTGACATATGCCATTATTCATTAGATTAAGTACAAAGAATGAGAACCTGTGCATCTATTATCCACACAACTTTAAATGTAGATATTTGTACTTTCAATAACTATGAACGTGCAAAATAAAATTTCGTTTAAATAAACCTTCTTTTGCTTATTTCTGCACCATATACATGTGTATACAATCTTAAAACTTATCTTTGATTTTTCGACAGTGGGCACATTTGATTGAAGTAAACCTGCTGAATCAAGGGAGACAGAAAAGAAGGAATTTCTTAATGATTCTTGCAATAGGAGTGCAAGAGCTTTTAATATTACTGGTGCATTCTTATCAATTTCCTTAAGCCCTTAGTGTTAATCTACCAGATTCAGCAATCACAATTGGATACAAATCATATCAATTCTAACAGGCAAAGTATCCCAAAACCTGTTTATTAGAAAAAGAACAAGAGGACCAATGGGCCTGAATCGCTCACCTGGTATTAATCTCACACTTGTTATCTTAAAAGTGGACTAAATACAACTACAGGCAGAATATCAGCGTTTGATTCATAAGAACCTATTCAAAGATTTAAACATATGATGCCCGTGACCTTGAATGTCGAACAAGGACATTAGGTTGAACAGAGTTTATAGTCTTCCAACCATGCATGCTTCTAGCAAAATATCATTACCCTGTACCTTTTGGTTATACAGAACAAATCATAATTATAGATTTAAACATATATTGACCACTGTGACCTTGAATATTGGCGAAGGTCATTCATTTGAACAAACTTGGTAGCCCTTCATCCCAGCATGTTACTGGTCAAATATCATCACCCTAGCTGTCTCGGTTATTAGCTCACCGGCTCGAAGGGCAAGTGAGCTTATGTCATGGTGCAGCGTCCGTCCGTCCTGGTCCGTCAACTTTTCCTTTAAACAACTTCTTCTAAAGAATTAAAAGGCATAAAATTATAATATTTGGCTGGTGACTTCCTGGGATAGAGCTCACCAAAATTTGCGAATGAAAATGATCTCAACCTACTTTAGAGGTCAACAACATTTTAATGGATTTGTTCTTAAGGAATGGATTCATAACATTTGGCTGGTAGGGTTTTGGAATAGAGCTAACCAATTTGAGAAGGAAAATGACATTGACCTACTTACAAGGTCACAGGGAAAAATATGTCAAGCAACTTCTGAAGAAGAATCAAGAAGCATAGAATCTTATAATAATATTTGACTGGTAGTTTCAACAGATGGAGCCAACAAAGTTTGAGAGGGAAATATTTTTAGTGCAATATAATATTTAATGAGAATATTTTGTTATGACTGCTTAAATATTTAGGTGAGCGATACAGGCCCTCTTAGGCTCTTGTTCAGAAGAAGTTGTTAAAGGTTTTAAATATGTTTGACCCCTGTGACCTTGAATATAAGTCAGGGTCATGTATTTGAACAAACTTAGTAGCCCTTTATCCCAGCATGTTACTGGCCAAATATCATCACCCTAGGCCTCTTGGTTATTCAGAAGAATTTGTTTAAAGATTTTAACATATTTGACCCCTGGGACCTTGAAAATGGATGAAGGTCATTTATTTGAACAAACTTGGTAGCCCTGCATCACAGCATGCTTCTGGCCAAATATCATCACCCTAGGCCTTTTGGTTACTGAGAAGAAGTTGTTTAAAGTAAAAAGTTGACGCCGGACGGACGACAGACAACGGACGGACGATGGACGCCGCACCACGCCATAAGCTCACTTGGCCATTCGAGCCAGGTGAGCTAAAAACATAATTGAAAATGTTTTGTTTATTTTATCCAACGTAAAACCTAGGTCACATTTGTGTAGAGGATGTTATTACAACATGCTGGTGGGCAGCTGGGCGGGCAGCTGGGCACCCATCCAGCCACTGACCACCTTAAAGTTACTGAACTAGTGAGCATGTCCCCGGGTTATACCACATCACTGTAAAAGCTAGCTTGCCAGAAAAGCAGGATTTTTTCCTCTAATTGTTAAGCTGTTACAGTATAATACTTCATTTAAATCCAGATAACAGGTTTTACAGCAACATACAGCCATCTACACCCTTTAAAAGTCCTGTTGATATAGTTGCCCATGTTTTAAGACACAATGTCCTCTTGTTATAAAATAAATGTCCTAGTAATGCAGCACTCTCACTGCTAGTCAGAATTATTCTGACGTTTTATCAACTTTTTTTTATCGGTCCGTCGTTGATTAACGTCAAAAATCCAGCCCCTCTATAATATGCGGGAAATAAGCGACCCGCACCTGGGTCGCTCTTCAAACTGATATTTTAGAAACAAATCGTCACTTTCACACACATGTCACACATGGATCGAAAGATATATTCTTTATGCACTATGTGGTATCAATAATATGTTTCAAAGATCACTACGAACAGTATTTTCCAATGTTTTCTATACCAACCCATGTTTTTAATGGAAATTAGGGCATGAGCAATGTCACATGATTTGACGAGATCTCGCGTTATCGAAGGAATTTCCCAACGTTATGACGTAGGCCGTCAAGATTTTTGTCACGTGACATTAGAAGGCGGGGCTATCAAAAACGTAAAGTAAAACAGAGTAAGTTTGAAAAAATAAGTTTTTAGTGATTGTATTGGTTGTTTGAGGCATGTAGTTTTATGTTCATCTTGTGCATACAGAATAGATCTTTTGATCCATGTGTGTGAAAGTGACGATTAGTTTCTAAAATATCAGTTTGAAGAGCGACCCAGGCGCGGGTGGCTTATTTCCCGCATATTATAGAGGGCCGGAGTTCTGGCGTTAATCGATGACAGACAGATATAAAACAAGAGTACCGCGGGGCGGAACAAAATACGCCCGTCGAATGCCATATAGTGTTATATACTTTCTTACATTGAAATAAGATCTGCATCATTCTAAGAGTGGTTAGCTGATATGCTATAAACAAGAGGCCCAGAGGGCCTGTATCGCTCACCTGAATATTTAAGCAGTCAAAGCAAAATATTCTCATTCAATATTATATTGCACTACAAATATTTCCCTCGCAAACTTTGTCGGCTCCATCTGTTGAAACTACCAGCCAAATACTATTATAAGATTCTATGCTTTTTGCTTCTTCTTCAGAAGTTAATTGACATATTTTTTGTGACCTTTTAAGTAGGTTAATGTCATTTTCCTTCTCATACTTTGTTAGCTCTATTCCAAAACCCTACCAGCCAAATCTTATGAATCCATTCCATTTGGTTCTTAAGAACAAATCCTTTAAAATGCTGTTGATCTCTGTCCTTTAAGGTAGGTTGAGATCATTTTCATTCTCAAACTTTGTGAGCTCTATCCTAGGAAGCAACCAGCCAAATATTATAATTTTATGCTTTCGATTATTCAGAAGAAGCCGTTTGATGTTTTTGACATGTTTGACACCTGTGACCTTGAAAGAAGGTCAAGGTCATTTTCATTCTCAAACTTTGTCGGGATCTATCTCAAGAAAACAACAGCCAAATATAAAGATTCTATACCTTTTGGTTCTTCAGAAGAAGTCGTTTAAAGAGTTTTTACATATTTGACCGCTGTGACCTTGAAAGTAAGTCAAGGTCAATTTCATTCTCAAACTTTATCTGGCTCCATCCAAGGAAGCCTCCAGCCAAATATGAAGATTCTATACCTTTTAGTTCATCAGAAGAAGTTGTTTGAAGCATTTGACATATTTTACCGCTGTGACCTTGAAAGTAAATAAAGGTCATTTTCATTTTCAAACTTTGTTGGGCTCCATCCCAGGAAGCCTCCAGCCAAATATGAAGATTCTATACCTTTTAGTTCATCAGAAGAAGTTGTTTGAAGCATTTGACATATTTTACCGCTGTGACCTTGAAAGTATGTCAAGGTCATTTTCCTTTTGAAGTCTTTGTTGGGCTCCATCCCAGGAAGCCTCCAGCCAAATATGAAGATTCTATACCTTTAAGTTCATCAGAAGAAGTCGTTTGAAGCATTTGACATATTTGACCGCTGTGACCTTGAAAGTAAGTCAAGGTCATTTTCATTTTCAAACTTTGTTGGGCTCCATCCCAGGAAGCCATCAGCCAAATATGAAGATTCTATCCCTTTTAGTTCTATAGAAGAAGTCGTTTGAAGTTTTTGACACATTTGACCCCTGTGACCTTGAAAGTGGATCAAGGTAATTTTCATTCTCAAACTTTGTCCGGCTCTATCTCATGAAGCCAACAGCCAAATATGAAGGTTCTATACCTTTTCATTCTTCAGAAGAAGTCGTTTTTGACATATTTGACATATTTGACTCCTGTGACCTTGAAAGTAGGTCAAGGCCATTTTCATTCTCAAACTTTGTCAGGCTCTAACCAACGAAGCTATCACCCAAATATCATGACTCTAGGCCTGTCCATTCTTCAGAAGAAGTCGTTAAAAGGAAAAGTTGACGGACGACGAAGGACGACGGACGGACGGACGACGCACCATGACATAAGCTCACTTGCCCTTTGGGCAGGTGAGCTAAAAATGTAGGAGAAAATCTTTAGACAAAAAATCAAAAACTGAAATGAACAAAGGGCAATAACATTTGGTAAAAATTGTCGAATCAAAATTCTTTTAAGGGAGACACAACTTCATATCATGATTATCATGTATACCAAGTGTCAAAGAGATCGGTCGAAAAATGTAGGAAGAGATCTCCGGACAAAATTCAAATACTGAAATGAACAAAGGGCAATAACATTTGGTAAAAATTGTTGAATCAAAATTCTTTTAAGGGAGACACAACTTCATATTATGATTTTAATTTATACCAAGTTTCAAAGAGATCGGTCGAAAAGTGTAGGAGGAGATTGCCGGACAAAAATCAAATACCGAAATGAACCAAGGGCAATAACTTTTGGAAAAATTGTCAAATCAAAATTCTTTTAAGGGAGACACAACTTCATATCATGATTATCATGTATAGCAAATTTCAAAGATATCGGTTGAAAAATGTAGGAGAAGATTGCCGGACAAACAAAGTTTACGCCGGCAGACGGACGGACGGACAACGCCATACCACAATACTCCCGTCAAATTTGAAGGGCGTATAAAAGTCGATAAAACGTCAGAATAATTCGGACTATCTCACTGCTCACAGTTTTGCTGGAAATGAAGCCAATGACTGCATAATCAAGGTTTTACTATATAAAACAATTTATTGACGGTCACACAGTGGATATATAAAGCATCATACCTGGTGTACATGTGTAACGCTGAGGATATTTCAAGTATGACATCATTAAGTGCTAATTTTAACAAATTTTTAATTTACAAGATGATTTTTTTCAACATTTTAAGTTCCTAGTACATCAAAATATGCATTAAGTTTAGTCAAAAAACTTTCAGAATTTCAAAACCTGTAGACTGGTCAACAAACAAAACTTTACATGAGCCTTGATAAGTAAGTGTTTGTTTTGTTACAAAACACCAAATACAGAGCACAACTAACGAACGTTTCAAAGTCTTAATGCTTCTTCTTTAGCAGTTCTTTGCTGTCATATTTTTCAGGATCCAGTTTGAACACTGTTGGTGATGGTGGTACTTCAATTTCCAACTGTAGTACATATATACCTGCAGTAGACAAAAAAGTACTTTCTCTTAGAAATGAAGAAGAATCTAACAAACAGAAATCAGACTAGCAAGTTATTTAACAAGAGGCCCAAGGGCCTTAGCGTTCACCTGAGTTATATCATAGGTACTGGTAGCTTTATTTTATTGTTTAGATGTGATGTGGAAATCAGCATGTAAACTAAGTGAAATACAATACTTGTCATGTCATCAAAGGATAAGAATTTGAAAATATTGGTAAATGTTCCCTTTGGGGCCTTGCCCTAGCCCCTGGGGATGGGGCAGGTATCCCAATTTTACAAAGTAAAACTCTCATTTACCCAAGATGATTCTGACTAAGTTTGAGCAATTTTCTGCTGAAAATGGATAAAATATATACCGAAAAGTGTTATTTCCCTATATAAACTATATTAAACGTTACCCCCTCCCCAAGGGAGAACGGATAGCTCGGGGTCCTGATATTTTCAATTTAAATAAAGCCCCTGATGATCTTTCTTTCCACGTAAAGAAAATCACTGTAGTACCTCTGAGTCTGGAGAAGAAGATTTTTGAAATATTGATTAATTTTCCCTTTGGGGCCCCGCCCTGGCCCCAGGGGTCGGGGTAGGAATCTCAATTTTACAATTTGAAACCATCTACCTCCAAGGATAATTCTCACCAAGTAAAAATAATTTCCTACAGAAAGTTGTCAAAATATACCCAAAAGTGTTATTTCCCTATATAAACTATAGTAAACTTTACCCCCTCCCCAAGGGAGAACGAATAGCTCGGGGGTCCTGAAATTTACAATTTAAGTAAAGCCCCTGATGATCATTCTTTCCATGCAGAGACAATGAGTGTAGTACCTCAGAGTCTGAAGAAGATTTTTGAAATATTGGTTAATTTTTCCTTTGGGGCCCCACCCTGGCCCCAGGGGTTGGGGTAGGAATCTCAATTTTACAATTTGAAACCACCTTCCTCCAAGGATAATTCTCACCAAGTAAAAATAATTTCCAACAGAAAGTTGTCAAAATATACCCAAAAGTGTTATTTCACAATATAAACTATAGTAAACTTTACCCCCTCCCCAAGGGAGAACGGATAGCTCGGGGGTCCTGAAATTTACAATTTAAGTAAAGCTCCTGATGATCTTTCTATCCATGCAGAGACAATGAGTGTAGTACCTCTGAGTCTGAAGAAGAAGATTTATGAAATATTGGTTAATTTTCCCTTTGGGGCCCCGCCCTGGCCCCAGGGGTTGGGGTAGGAATCCCAATTTTACAATTTTGTAGCCTCATCTACCAAGGATGATTCTGACCAAGTTTGAAAAAAATCCATCCACTGGTTCTTGAGAAGGAGTTGAAAATGTAAAAAGTTTACGCATGACGCACAACGGACGACGAACGGAAAGCGATTAGAATAGGTCACTTGAGCAAAGCTCAGGTGACCTAAAAATTGAATTATGTACTCTTAACATTAATGAGGGTAGGAAACAAAACACATTCCATGATGTGCAGTAGTGAGTTTAAATAATATGTTGATAACTGACAGCATTTCATACCACAATAAATGTAAATATATATACAAGAATATGCATTTCATTCCAGACATTTATGTTCTAAATATCGAAGAAAATTCTACCTTGCTAAGCATATTATTTCTTGTTCTTTTAGTTTTACCAAAATATTGGAATGGACATTTTTGTGAGAATAAAGTATTTATGGTTACCATATCCATTTAGGCAATAATCCAATACCATTCACAAATTTGTCCCCTTTTATTCTAAAGCTATTTTTTTAATTTAAATATTCAGTTTCCATCATTTGATTGGATGACCTGTGCAGTATATATCACGTAATTGAAAAACATGTATTTGGATATGCCTAATAATATTACTTCTATACAGACGATTTCTTGCCGCTAAACGGAATAATTTTGGTTTCCTGATTATCAAGATATATTTCACTTATGGGTGGAAATTTTCATGTAAATATCAAAATATTCCCCCTTCCATGAAATATCAGTTATTCATCAAGGAACCATTAACATCCTCTTTATATTTTGATTCTTTTGAATATAAAATCTCTTTACCTGTAACCTTCAATGGGCGAGCCTTGTGCACTTCCTTCTTTAATGTTTCCAAATTATCAGACAACTGTTCCAGTGTCATACTTAGCTGTAAAAATATGCACTAAGCTGTTAAAATATACATGGTACACATGAGTATTTGTTCTAACATTTATTGTGTTTCTTTGTTACATATGTAAATAATACTGTATTATATGAATAGTTCAGTTAATCAGCAGATTAATATATATTTACATTTCAGCTGCAACCCACTATATGAACATTACTAGCAGAAATGCATTTCATTCGAGTATGAAAGCATAAACTCTCGTGACGTAACACATGGTTTACTTATGATGTCATATATTAACCTTGTTCAATGAGTCTTGTCGCTTTGATTGGGATAACATGGAGAATGCCCCTGCGTCAAACGCTCAAATGACTACGGTTAATTATTGGTGCCACTTTTATTTAAATAAGGCTGTTCCGCCATTGTCGTTTAAAGGACGACGCATATACAAAGTGCAATAAGAACAAATAAATAAAATGAAATAATTGTTCTATAGTAAAAATGTAAATGTATTGATTGAACAGCGTTTTTTTTTTAATTTTCATGCCAGTACGAACGCAAATCGTTTACATCCAAACATTAGCGGGCTTCATGCAATATGGATTTAACTGATTTGCGTTCATACCGGCATGAAAATTTTAAAAACGCCGTTCAATCCTTACATGAATACATATATAATTATACACCTAACACTTTATTCGTTATATGTACAGTCTTAAAAATAAGGGTACCATCAGTTCCACTCAGATTTATTTTGACTTCTTTCTAACTTTTACATAAATGTACAAGATAAAGCAACCACAAGGTTTATTTTTCTGGCTTAGAGTCACTTCCCCTGTCAAGTTCTTCATACGCTTTGGTGCTCATGAACTGGACACTTATTGTGATGCTTTGCTTGCATAATGCCTGTAGGGTAACATAAGTAAACTGTAGGCTTCGCAATGTTAAAAGTTCCTGATTCAATTCCTGCATTTTTCTTGACGCATTTTACAAAGTTTGAAGGCCATTCATGAAACAGTGGCCAATATCTGCTATTGAAACTTGTATTACTCTGTATTTCAGTACTTGAGGTCAAGGTCAGAGTTTGAAATAAAGTCACAGTGACCTTGTTTTCAGGATGTGACACAACACCTCCCCATGACGTACCTACATGTAAATGCAAAGTATGATACCCATTCATGAAACAGCAGCTGAGATATGCTCTGAAAACCTTTGTTGTGGTAGTTGAGGTCATGGCCAAAGGTCAAATTGAGGCCCAAGTGACCTTTCCTTAATATAAAATGCAACACACATTCCATGATGTACCTATACTTTATGCAAAGTTTGATGCCCATTCATGGAACATTAGCCTAGATATGCTCCAGAAACCACAGTCAGACCTTTGAGCGATGGTTCCTACAGTGAATAAAATAATATATACTTGTTACTGAATAACACAGTAATCTTGTGATCAACATAGTTCGGACCATACTTACTGGCCCAATGGGAAATTTGATGTTTGCCACTCCTCTTGTTTTAGTTTGCTCTATTTTCAACAGTACTCCATTGAGGAACTTCTCCATCATTTTAGGAATGTCTTCACTCAAATTACCTGTAGAGCATAGGGGGTGATTTAATTCTTGAAACAAAAGCTAGACATCACAGACAACAATAATTCCCTCACATATCCCTTACTCATTTGAAGACATTATTATAAGCCATTAACTGGAAAATGACATTGTTATGAAGATATCAAAGACTTTCAATCAAAAAGCAAATTGGGCCTGAATCTCACTCACCCGATTTCAAAAGTGATCGTTATCAGAATGTTAGGATTCAGCGCAATGAGGAAAATAATCGTACAAATTATGGATATAATCAATCTGGTGTGACTTGAAGATTAGTGAAACCTATCAGAAGACAGGGCAGCCATGTTTGATTTTGAATCAACCCAAAAATAACAACTCCTGTTTTGATCAGATTGAATCTTTATGAATTCTAGTCAGTTGTATTCTATGGCCTGAGACTGTAAGGATCTGACATATATTGCTTTGTACAAAATTTAAAAATCAAAGCTTGCAAAAATGTTCTCCCATCAGAAACAATGCACCTTATATTGCGACCAGGGGTGATCTAGGATGGAACTCTACATCTGTGTTGCAAAAATTGACAAGTCTATGGGCCCTGGTTAAAGCTCAGGACACAAAATCAGACCATACCATAAAGCCGCCTAGAGTGGTCTAAAACTAGAATAGAAACCAAGAACAAACACACTGAACAAATATAAAGGGATTTTACTTAAATATTTTTCAGAATAATTTCCCAATTTTTAGTCTCATAAGCCAAAACACTGGCTGGATGTCTGTACTGTAATTTAAACTGGATATTGTTTTAATTATCTCAAATATTACATATAGGTCTGACATATTGACATGTGATATGCAAAACCATATTTAAGTTTTACTTTGGTCACTTTTGTTAAAAAAAATTGGGGCTAAATCCAGATATCAATTTGTGTTTTTAAGTAGAATTTTACAGATGCGGATGATTAAACTATGACCCTTAATTGTGGCCTTTGTCCCCTTCCTGATGCAAAGTTGAATTACACTCCAAGCCTTAACAGAGCTTGAGAAAAAAAAATTACCCATTTAACTTTTAAGATCAACTTTTGGCTACAACAGATTTCAACCCCTCCAACTTGATGTAAGACAGGATGACAAAAGAAGCAGCATTATGGAATGTTATAGTATTTATTACATGTGCACAATTACTAATGTTTGATTTTGTGGTACACTATTAAAATATGAAAATAAAATATACTAAAATAAACAAGAGGCCCAGGGGCCTTAATAGCTCACCTGGTATTTTATTTTTCAATTTAAAACCTGCTGAGTACCATTCAGGTTTATCAAAGGAGTATTTCCCCTAATGGGCCCCACTAATCTTCCCCAAAGAAGGTGAATCCACACACCTCAGTTTAAACAAAATTGATTCTTTTCTCTCTAAGCATGCTTCAGACTGCATTTGGTTTAAATCCCTTCACTGGTATAGTAGGAGAAAAAAAATCCTCTATTTCCCCTATTGGGCCCCGCTCCTATGCCGCCAGAAGGCCCACACCCTCTGTTTATACAAACTTGAGTCTCCTTTGTCCAAAGATGCTCCTCTAGGACAAATTTGGTCAAAATCCTTCAATTGGTTGAGGAGAAGATTTTTAAAGATTTAACTATTTTCCCCTATTTGGCCCCGTCCCTCTGCCCCCAGGGGGACCATACCCTCCGTTCATACAAAACTGAGAACCCTTTGGCCAATGATGCTCCAGACCAAATTTGGTCAAAATCCCTTCATCGGTACAAAAGGAGAAGGATATTTGATGTTTTCCTCTATTTCCCCTAATGGGCCCCACCCATCTGCCCTTAGAAGGAGGCCCACACACCTCAGTTTATACAAAATTGATTCTTTTGTCCCTAATCATGCTTCAGACTGCATTTGGTTAAAATCCCTTCACTTGTATAGCAGGAGAAAAAAAATCCTCTATTTCCCCTATTGGGCCCCGCCCCTCCGCCCCCAGAGGGGCCACACCCTCCGTTTATACAAACTTGAGTCTTCTTTGTCCAAAGATGCTCTAGGACAAATTTGGTCAAAATCCTTCAATTGGTTGAGAAGAAGAACATTTTTAAAGATTTACCTTTTTTCCCCTTATTTAGCCCCGCCCCTCTGCCCCGAGGGGGGGCTATACCGTCCGTTTATACAAAACTGAGAACCCTTTGGCCAATGATGCTCCTGACCAAATTTGGTCAAAATCCTCTGAGCCATTCAGGACAAGTAGCATTTTAAAGGAAAAAGTTGACGGACGCCGGACGCTGCACCATGTGCCTTCGGGCCAGGTGAGCTAAAAATGATTGATAGATGAAAAAATTAATTCACTCGCTAGTGTGATTCTATTGTGTGAAAGTTCTAACTATGTGAAATCTATCATGTGAAAGTTCTAACTATGTGAAATTTCATCTGGCAAATTCAATCACGTAAGTGTTACCATTTTTTTCAGTTGGGAACATTTCTCCAAATAAAGGACGCATGGGTTTTAGCTGTTTGAACATGTCTGTTGTGGATAGAATGTGATCCAACTCGTAAACCGATATCTGATCGGTCTGGATCTGAAAAGTAGGACATGACAGTGTATTGATAGTAATTAGCAGAACCAAAACACATTGTGGTCAATGATGACTATTACATACATAGGCCGATCAAACAGTTATAACTTATAAGCTGCAGATAAGTAAATCAATTATTTGTAAGGAACAATGTTCCTTTAAATTATAACACACTAAGATATAATATCAGCAAAAAATAACTCCGACATGAGCATGTCATTGAGAATGGGGTTTTAGTAAGACTGTTACAGTACCCTGAACTCTGCATGAGAGTTAGTTACCCAGGTCAGGAGATCTCTCTGTGCGTGATCAGTGTGTACAAAGAGTTGTAGGGTTGTTTCCTGGGGCACGAGATTGTTCTATCTTACAGAGCTGACTGAAAGATAATTACCTGGGCCAGAAGTTCTGTCCCCCCAGCGTGCAGAGCTCCAGCTTCGATCGCCTTCCTTACATTATCCTTATGCTACAATCATGAAAAACATTTGAAGTGTTCGTAATTTAATTCACTGACAAGGAGTATGTAACGTGACCTATATCATTTATTAAACACCTGGCTCTTATATGCTACCTGAAGGCAAAGAAACAGTGTTAAGATAAGTACTTATAAGTAATAGGTATTAAGAAATTTCAGCTCTTTCTTCAATATTACATTATAAAGAGTTTTACTTTATATTTATAATTAGCTGTAGTAAATTAACTTTTCTGTAGACTTCTATAATCTGACTTATATGTAGCTGTGAGAACAATTGTTTGCTATGTTAAATTCAAGCTTTATGTAGTATGAGTGATGTACCGTTTAGATACAAACCTTTGTGAATACAGCACATCTTGCTTTCTTAGGCTGTTCAAAGGGATGAGGAACCACCACTGACCTAGATAATGATGTATAATTTCCCTGTAAAACACAACCATACAATACAGATGATAAACCACCACTGACCTAGATAATGATGTATAATCCCCATGTAAAACACAACCATACAATACAGATGATGAACCACCCCTGACCTAGATAATGATGTATGATCCCCATGTAAAACGCAACCATACAATACAGATGATGAACCACCACTTACCTAGATAATGATGTATAATTTCCCTGTAAAACACAACCATACAATACAGATGATGAACTACCACTGACCTAGATAATGATGTATGATCCCCATGTAAACCACAACCATACAATACAGATGGTGAACCACCACTGACCTAGATAATGATGTGTGATCCCCATGTAAAACACAACCATACAATACAGATGATGAACCACCGCTGACCTAGATAAGGATGTATAATCCCCATGTAAAACACAACCATACAATACAGATGGTGAACCACCACTGACCTAGATAATGATGTATAATCCCCATGTAAAACACAACCATACAATACAGATGATGAACCACCCCTGACCTAGATAATGATGTATGATCCCCATGTAAGACACAACCATACAATACAGATGAGGAACCACCACTGACCTAGATAATGATGTATGAGCCCCATGTAAAACACAACCATACAATACAGATGATAAACCACCACTGACCTAGATAATGATGTATGATCCCCATGTAAAACGCAACCATACAATACATATGATGAACCACCACTGACCTAGATAATGATGCATGATCCACATGTAAAACACAACAATACAATACAGATGATAAACCACCACTGACCTAGATAATGATGTATAATTTCCCTGTAAAACACAACCATACAATACAGATGATGAACTACCACTGACCTAGATAATGATGTATGATCCCAATGTAAAACACACCCATACAATACAGATGATGAACCACCACTTACCTAGATAATGATGTATAATTTCCCTGTAAAACACAACAATACAATACAGATGATGAACCCCGACTGACCTAGATAATGATGTATGAACCCCATGTAAAACACAACCATACAATACAGATCATGAACCACCTCTGACCTAGATAATGATGTATGATCCCCATGTAAAACGCAACCATACAATACAGATGATGAACCACCCCTGACCTAGATAATGATGTATGATCCCCATGTAAAACGCAACCATACAATACATATGATGAACCACCACTGACCTAGATAATGATGTATAATTCCTGTGTAAAACATGAACCACAATTGACTTGGACATTGGTGCATAATACCATACAATATAATATTGTTCTTCCATCAGTTTTAAAGTATAACGTTCACAACTAAGGATCAAGGGGAACTTAAATATAAAATTTTAGTAAAGTCTGTCAATTTAAACAGCCCACTATCTGATAAAAAAAATACCTCACGATTTGTCCAGCTGCTGAGGACCATGTTGGCGAACACATAGCTATCCATGTAGTCATAAAGATTGGGCTGTGCCATCAGTTTATGTCTTTTTATAGCTTCCTCAAAAGTGAAATATGGTTCTGGGTAATCCGACGTGAACCATACATTATCCTTTGGCTCCTCCCCAATATGTGTGCTCAGCAGTGGACTTTTCATATACTGCATTACAGGAGGCGCGAATACTCTGTAAAGAATGAAATTCTCTAGTAGTCCGAACACATGGTGAATTTTGATCTCTTTGCCCCTACCACAGTGAATACCAACTAACTAAAATGAAACAATAAAGAAAGCATGCATTCAATTGAAAGTCTTTCATGCAAGTACTGAACGGATTGATATTGCCCAGAAAATTAACGTTTTTCACATTCAAATACATTACTGATGTAAACGAAAGCAATAAAAATAAAATCTATTACGTGGTACAAATGGATTTATATCAAAATTCAGGAATATGAATAATACTACACTATCAGTGTTCATATCATCTAATATCTATAGCTGTTTAAAGGGAGAGGGAGACTGCTATACTTAAGGTATCACTCCAACACACCTTATGGGAAAGTTATGACAACCTTAATATCATTATGAACGTTCAAGCTAAACTAACCACAACCCTAAAATATACCTTAAGGCAAAGATTTGTTTTGAAAATCAGTTCATAAATACACTTGCTAGCATGCAGAATCTATGAACCAATCATGATATAACAGCAGCAAATTTAGTTATGCACCAAGTGCACATATTTTTGAGACAAACCATTCCCTCCCATTGGTACCAGTTGGGGACTATATATAGATAATAAAGTTAACGTCTCATCACAATTTTAGGATTAAGCATTCAGATGACAATAATTTTCCTGTATTCGATTTAATTTTTATACACTTAAGTTGGCCATCACCTTTATTTATTTAATATGTACAAAGTTTAATTCACTGACCTTTTTGCCTTTTTTACTGCCAATTCAAAAACAGGCACTTTTCCTAGTCAAAAAGTACCTCATTTTCCCAAAATGAAAATAAAATCATCTAATTTCACTACTAGGCTCAGCCCTGTGTCTTCAGAGGGACAAACTCCTACAAATTCTCTATGGCATTTTGGACAAGAGTTTTTTTAAATGAAAAATTGATGGATGGATGGATGAATGAATGACAGATGTAGCAGCATTTACCACCGTAACTCATCCTTACATGAGTATATATTGTAATGATAGGTTTACCTAGTTTTCTTCGACTTCTTGGCCTTGGAAGTTTTGGAGCTAGCATTTCTGGTCTGGCTGTGAAAGACCCCTGTGGTGGCCCTACTCTCCAAAGTCCAGGCCTGAGTCAATGCGACATATAGCCTCTGTATTGCTGTAATAATTAAATAACAAATCAGTTATTTTAAAGATTCAATGATTGCATAATCTACATTTCAATATGTGAATTATTGACAAGAAATTACTTTTTCCTGCTCCTGTGCATAGGTGATAGAACTAGTACTGTCAAGGGCTAGAAAATGTCTGTCTTATATCAATTGCAATCTATTTCACATGTGTGATGTCACAATTGGACAACAATGATTTGATGTCACAAAATTCGGAAACATTCCAATGCTGCGATGATGAAATTGCAACAAATTTTTGGTGGTTTCTCAGCTAATTATTTCAATCTTTTGATTAAATGGAGAGAAAAATAGTCTTTCGTGTCCTGGGGTGTAGGATAGCAAAATTCCATCTTCATGATTTTTAAATTAGTGCAAAACCCGCGACAAGCCTATGTTTTTTTCAAACTTGAAAACCTCTTTGGTGGAATTTCCTTGTCCTACACCCAGGCATGAAAGATTTTTATCAGCATCTAGCTATATTTTGATACCAATAGGTAACTCAAACTTAGAAAATGTTACAGATCAAGAACATCAAGACACAAATTTGTCATAGAGCTTGATATTTTCTGGTGTCAAAAGTTATTTTACATACAGTATTATGTATTTGATTTATCACACCTGTTTAATGAATAAACACAGGTACATTGTAACTATAGATACTAAAGCTAGTCTTATGTTATTTACCTAGTTTTATTTGTTGTGACTGTACATGTATATATACGTATGGCACAGAATATATATATATATACTTTTGGTATACCATATTTGTATCTATGAACTTATTAATGTACATTATTAAATAACTCCCCTGTGGTCAGTTGGTGGGGAGGGAGTAGGGGAGGTGGATAACGTCACACTTGTGCCAATAATGTGTATAAAGCGCCAGTTTTTCCTGTAGCATACGACGGATTACGTACTTGCCAACTATGATTTAAATTTAGAGCGCACAGAAATCTCTACAGAACTTTCAAAAGGTTGACAAGCAATGCTGAAGCGTACTCAACCCTTGAAATGTACTTGATATCAAGGTCTCTTCCAGTATTATACAGAAACAGATATGTAACAGGAGAGGGAAAATGCATGACCAGACCAGGGTTTGAACCTGGGACCCTACGAATTCTAGACGGACGCTCTACTAGGTGAGCTACCTGGTCGCAGACAATCAACCAGGTCTAGATCTGCTACATTCCTCCCTCCTTTAACAAAGTCTTCAACCTCGAAGACACACCAGACTCTATACCACCTTTTGTGGATATATTATGTTGGGCCCTAAATGTAACTCTAGACTGCAGCTCTACAGATCCAGTGGAACTGGACTCAATAGCAGCGTCGACTGCTGGTGACCAGGTACATTGTAGCTCATGTTGATTTGAGTGCCCATCTCCAGTAAGGAGGGTTCCAAGTTTAAACCCCAGTCTGGGATTGTATTTTTCTGCATCTATTTCATTTGGATTCCTACCATATTTTGACACATGTTACACAAAAAACAAGTAATGTATGAACTGTACTTTGTGATATGACCTACAGATGCCCAACTGGTTTATTTACTTGTAGGAGTAATATAAATTCATAATGCCTGGAGTTTCTTCTGTTCATGGCTAATATACACGCCCTTTTTTTCCAAACTGATTGTTTTCATTAACTGCCGATAACTTATATACGTCCGCGTATGTTTTTATAACCAACAAATGTGCACATGAGTCCTTGAAACATCAGTGACAATGATGCCACTGTAATGAAAAAGGTACATGATTGAAGGGCACTTATTATATTATAGTTAACAGCCAGAAAGCGAAAGAAATAGACGAGAAGATGACTAGCTACACACATTATGTATAGTGCGTTCTTGTATGCTGAGATATCCATATTTTTATGTTGACAAGTACCTGTTCCATGTTTACGCATAGGCGCAGCCATGTTGGAAATGAAACTTTTTACGGTAATTAGCGAGTGTATACGAGTATGAATAACAAACTGATAATGCTTATTTCCTACATAATAAGCAAATGTAGACAAAAACTCAAATGATTATCAGAATGAAATCTCAAGATAAATTATTTGTAAATAATTGATTTAAAAATCTTTTTTTCGTAGCCAATCAAAACAACGTTTACATAGACATTCGGTGGTGGACGCCATGTTGATTTTCTTTTGGCAGACTTTGAAAACCTGTCAAAGAGGCAAGAGGGTTATTTAGCTGTGTACGGAAAGCTATCGATGAAGGTACACCACTGATAACTTAACACATGCCGTGCTTTGTTTGATTTTATTTCAAAGCACGTTAATAACAGTCAGATGATATTGAATTAGCTATCTCATCTCTTCAAATATAGATCAGCTGTTCAGTTTAGAAACAAAACAGTGTTCACATACACGCAGAAATAGCAGTAATTTTGATGAAAGGCTAACATATATAAAAACGAATCAACAGAAACTCATAAGGAAAGACTTGATAATAAATTTGACCCACATATCAAAATAATCTAGATGTCACGATCGCGAGTTAAACATGTACATCTTGTTGAAGAATGTTTGTTATGTTCAACATGAAAGTAGGTCTAATTATAAGCTTACTGTTGTCTTAAACCTGTAGTACATCTGTACAGTATAATAACAATTTAATTTGTATTTTTTCTGTATTTTTCACGAGTATATCATGATACCGATATTTTAAAGAAGAGAAAATATTAATGTATTTTGCCATTCAAGTGAAATACATATGGTTTACAACAAAAATATTGCTTCATAAAAAGTATGAGAAATAAGTAGTGTAATCATTGACTCTAGATTCTAAGAACGTTACCAGGTTGGGAAAAACACCAACTTGCGTATAATACGCAAACTCGCCTATTATTCGCCAGTTGGAGTTTGGATTTGTTACTAAAAATAACCCAAATCGCTTTAAGAGTAACTTGTGCAAGATATTATTAAAAAATCGCATTAATAAACGACAAGGTAAATAATATTTTGCTACAAGATGTTTACTGAAAGCGTTGGCTACTTAGAAACTTGATGTAACTTTACCGGAAATATTGCATCTATTTTTGGTACTTTCCCACATGCAAATAGAGTTTATTTTTGTATTTGTATTATGTTTCATGACTAAATAAATGCGACTTGAACAAACAATTTGAAAAAGTTAAGATTAAAGTGATTTTGGCTATTTTAAGTAACAAATTATTCGCAAGTTCGTGGTTTTCCCCGACCTGGTTTCAGCTGTACATGTGCCGTTTCAAATTGGCTACTTGCATTGGTGTAGTGTTATCAATTATTTATTTATGTTATATTTATGTACTTAAGATATACAAAAACAACAGCTTATTCTACTGTCACCGAACAGAAAATCTGCCTCCCAACCAATTCTTGCAACAGTATGGACGATAATAAAGTCCTTGGTCAGTAATCCCCGAAGTATGTATGTTATTCAGAAGATTAATGCATAAAATATTAGGGCTGGAATGGGTTAACGAGTACCCGGCCTGGTTGCGGTTTGGTTACGACTACGATTCGATAAGCAAATCCATGTACATGTACCCGAAAACCGTCCCAAAATGTAGGTCAGTATTTATTGACTTCTCCTGCAGAAATGTTGTTCCTGACTGCTGATCAACAGACCTCGAAAATACTTGTGATCAGTATACTTGCTTTACTATTGAGTGCATGTGAACAATAAACTTTGAATGTAAACATAATATCGACTGATATTCTGTTGCACAATGTAACTCATCATTCACCGGCAGCTATCTACAGTGTTCCAATGAAAGTGATGCACAGAAACGTAACACCTGCACATAGCATTGACAACACATAAGAGTAAAGCGAGACTACGAAAATTTCCCTTTCGGGAGGCTAGTGACATGTAACCAATTCATAACGATTTTGACCACAAGACATAGGTATTGAGTTATCTTTGTTTATGCATTTAATGAACTAAGTAATCATATTTTTATCAAAATAAAGAGGCATTGTTGGCCGTGTTTCATTGCAAAAGAAAACAGTTACCCGGTTTCGGTTCAGATAAGCAGACACTGATATCGGAGTGGTATTTTTCTAACCGTTGCAGCCCTGTTAAAGATATTGTAAATAATTATCTTGGAAAATGATGTCCTAACCTTTTCTTTACTAATTTCATTATATTAGACGACACAACTTCTACATCTCATTGGTTGGATCGATATCAGTATCAAATAGTGTTCGTAAAATTGTGATATTGACTCAGAGTTACTATTTTTAGAAACACCAGACCAATATTCCCTTTATAGGTCACTTAAATTGTAATCTCACAATGCCCTGTCCCAAATGCAGTATTTTTCTTCTTCACACGATTTCATAAAGTTCCATCTTTCTGATGAAAACAGCATATTTTCATATCTCATATATAACAATTAATATGGTTATATTAACCTGAACAGGTATGTTGACTTTGTTTGTCCTTTTCATGTCTATATAATCACAAATCCACCTCAACAAAAGTACAGAATAAACAAATATTACATGGGCTCCATCGAAACCTTCCACTTGTTGGCTGCATGGGGATATATCATCCACAGATGACTCTTTTACCTTATTTACCTATATTTTCCAGTCTACTGACTTTGATTAGACTCCACTTCTTTGATACTAGAGACGTCCCACAGTCATTAAACTTGTATACACATTTTGAAAATTTCTACACCATCTTACAACATGTACATGTACAGCTCAATTTGACCCATATTTCTGTTTCACTACTCAAAGCAGGATTGGGGCATATAAACGTATATAAATATATATCAATATAAATGCATAAAATAATATTATTAATTTTATGTATGCTAATAAACATTTTCATTCACTGCTGCAAAGTTGGAATTATATTTTGTACGTGTGTAATATAATTGGATAATCAAACTAGATATAAAAGTAAACATTTTGTTTAATTTTACACACCTTTTGTTCTACAGAACTTTTCATCATGCCGAAAGATAACAAGTATGAGAAGTATGCTTCGCCCAATCCCAGACGTGCTCATACCTTTATGTCTGCAGAAGACCTAGCAGCAGGCAAGAAGTCATCATGGTATGAGTTGGAGATAACAGGTATGTAGCAAACATACAGGTAGGTAAGATATCTAGTCTGGTACTGATTCCTTCATATATATATATATACAATCAACCATTTGTACAAACTCTGAACCACAAGGTAAAGGTAATGTAGTCTAATACGGTAGTTAAATCAAGGAGATATGGTTAGTTTTGTCTTTTGTTATTTTATTAACATATATTTTTCACCATGAAAGTTGTACTTCGGGTTACTTAAAGGGGCTGGTGGGGGAAAAAATACAAAATAAATGGGTCTAAATGCGTTCTCTGGCCTTCCAAAAGTTATACCACGGCAATATGGTGGTCAAGTTCTGCTTGCAATGTCCAGTTTTGACCACTGAAATCTCGGGGAAGCCCCACGTAAATTTAGCGCAGATCTATTTATAATATGTCACATGGTTGTTTCGAAAGTGAGGCATTGAAGATAACAACAATAGCACGCCGTCATGTGCCATGTCGGACTCAACTAGCGGACAAGACAGCAATACTATACGTAAATAATTGTTTTCAAAGGTCATGTATGATGCAAGTGTAGTATTCCTACCTATATGTTGTTGTTATATATAACAGTATTGATACCTCGTGCCTGTCATGACTTTTGCATGCATCTTTTTCTTTCGCTGCAATGTTTACATTTGGCCTTCTTGATGACGCGCGTGCAGTAAAATTACATCACTGATCTGGGTCAATTGAGAGTTTTAGACTGTCAGGTGACGATTTAGGATTTCTTTAATATAATTATAATTTTTACTCTTAGGGAGTGAATTTCAGCAAAATTTGAATCGGTATATTTCATAAGAAGGTATATTTTAAAACATGTGTATGCCATTTAAGCAAATATGACATTTTTTCCCCGACCAGCCCCTTTAAATACATTTTCACATAATTTCTCATTAAAATATAAAATATGAATTGTAATATGCAGCAATTAAAGCAATAATTCATACATAATGTGGAACATGCTCTAATATAATTTCGAGTACATAAACCTAATGCTATTTATATTACAAGGCAATCAGAAATTGGACAACAACTGATACATCTGTTGTAATATATGCAAATCCTCTCTAATGCTTTATTTTCAATATCACTATCATGACAAGTGAATGGTGATACTAGTATAAATGCCACATTTACCATCTCCTACTTTTAAGGGAATGACTGAGGAACTATAGCCCTGAGATCTAGAGTACAAATGATATTCTAGAAGCTCGAAGGCTCTGTAATGAAGAATATCATGTTTGAGATTTCTCTGTCACACCCTCATGCTAGGGGATGATTATTTAATCCAGCAGTTGCACAGTCCAGTCAATTTGTGCCAAAACAAAACTGGCTTGACTACTGAGGCATAAATGTAGTTTACACATACAGTATACACATTTAGCTAGGTATTGATTTGTATGTACATAGAAATGTTTATACATTTGTGTATTAATTTATCTAATATAAATATTTGATCATCTTTTCCAGGTGCTGTAAGAAACTTAGCACCTGACCTATGGAACTTGCAGCATTTAACTTCTCTCTATCTCAATGCCAACAACTTGTCCAGAATCCCTCCCGATATAAACAAACTTACGCAGCTCACCTATCTTGACCTTTCGTCCAATAAGCTTCGAAGCTTGCCCTCTGAGCTTGGCGATCTTGCTCATCTCCGGGAATTACTACTCAACCACAATTGTTTGAGAGTGCTTCCTTATGAACTTGGAAAACTTTTCAATCTTCAGACATTAGGTAAGAAATGCAAGTTTTAAGTTTATTAAATTGCTTAAGTGTCACTACTCATGATTTCACATTATTAGCCCATCTGATGAGCTGTTCATATTGCCGTTTGTCAGTTGTCTGTC